AACCACACGGGGAAGGAGCTGCCTTGGAGAGTGGAAAAAGGAAAAACTCATCTTCTCAATATTGACCAGAAAGTACCTCATTTGTAACTCGAGTTCTGTTGCTATTTCTTCTGTATCTGTTAGGGCTTGTCCTTGAGTTGTTAGCTGAGGACATGTTTAAAAGGAAACCAGAAACTGTGTGAAGGCAGTACTCCAGGATTTTAATATGGCCTTCATTTTTACAATAAATTTTTACTACTAATAATGCTATTCTGTGCTTCTTCCAATAATTTAGGTTCTCATCTAGTGCTCTTCAGTAAAGCAGTGCAGGTGCCTGTGACCAGCACAAGACTCCCTGTTCTTTACTTAGTCAGCTCTGATAAAAAGTTACCTAACTTTAATTTCAGTTTCATTCCAAACACATATTCTGGAAACTTTTGGTAGTTCTGATCAGCTTCATGTGCAGTAGCACTTTGCAATACAAGTAGAATTGTCCAGGTAACTCTAAAATGAGGGGGAAATGGATGTATGGGACAGTCCATAACAGTGTTTCAATGCAGGGAGACAAGACTAAGACTCCAACTTAGAAAAAGACAATAGATCAAATATGCCTAAATTAATTTTAAAATAATGTTTGGCACAGGATAAGATAAATTAGTTAACCGTTTTCTAAAGGACAAGAAGCTGGGGAAATAGGACTCAACAAAATCTTCTAAAATGCTTTCTCAGGGATTTGTCACTAGTTAGCCTTTTGTTTTTCCTTCGACCTTCTCAATAGGCATGTCATAATTTGCTTTTTAAGATTAAAAAAATAAGACTAGGTGAAAACTAGATCTGGCCAAATTTTAACTGATGACACTTGAACCGTGTGAATTCCTTCTGATTGCTGTCTCACTCAGGCACAAGAACTGAACTTCTTTCCCCCCTTCAGTTACCCATAGATATGAATTACATGTGCTCAAAGCATGAAAATTTTCTTGAAAATGTGTGCTGTGAGGTCTAGGGTGAGACTCCCAGCAGGTCTTAAATCATGCAGGCTGCTGATGAGATACAGCAGAACCAAATTCCTACAGCAAACTTCATTAGGTTGCTCCTCACTTTTTTGGTTGCTTTCTTCACTGATTCCAGGGTGTATAAAAGACAAAGACTTTCTGTTATCAGGCTTTTCTTTATAACAGAAAGTATTGTTTCATGGATGTACTAAGACATAGAGGTTTGTTTCAGAATAAAACAGTGGCCTGAAAAATGGATGCAGATGCTACAGGTTGCTTAAATGTTCAGAACTTCATTTTGCTGTATTTCAGTCCTAAGTTAGCTAAATTAAAGAATGAAATAATTTAAATAAGTACTGGCTCAGTACTCTTTCAGCTTGATCAAACATGCTAATATAGTTCCTGAATGATGCTAATAGAACATTAAATTCACTTTTCATTGTAGTAAATCTTTTAATGAAAGTGATTTTTATTTTGGGAGAATTAATGATGTAATCATCAAAAGAAGCCTTTGGACTTATTATTACCCATGCAATGCAAGTTTGGTTTTGGGGTTCATGTGACCACTGACTTTGGAACCAGAGGAGCCAACTGCACATTATGGAAGGGTGTGAATTGAAAATTGCTTAGAGGGCTCAGTTAGAGAAGGGAAAATATGAACCTTTTTTTCTTTCCTAAACAAAAATCACCTTCAGAAGCATGGATCCACCACCAGTTGTCTTCTGGCCCTTCCTATAACATTCTTTCAAATTAGAACAGCAAATAGAGCAGCATTTCATGGTGTGTCTGGGACAGCCTTGTGAGCAGCAGGAGTGTCAGCACAAGAGGCTGAGGAGGGAAGGACATCAGCAGGTTGTGATCTCTGATCACAGTGTCTGATCTCTGATGTGCCCAGAGATGCTCAGAACCAGGACATGGTCACTGCTGGACTGCACTTAGTGACAATTTCCTAATAACACTTGGTATGTTTTGTTAGTCTGATAATTTGCACGTAAAATCACAGACTTGTGAGTCAGAGACTCGCTCCAAATGAGCTGTTAGTGCTGTTATATTTGTGGCCTTGTCTTTGGAGGTGTGACTTTGTCACCTTGCAGTGCCACGGAGCCATTTTAGCAGCAGGATTTGAAGGTGAGCATCCAAGAGCTCAGGCAGGAGGGAGCACTGGGGGTGTGTGCAGTGCAGGGGGACTCAGCTGCCCCTTCTGAGGCAGTGGGGGAGGATGTTCACCCAGCTGTGCTGCAATAAATCCTGGGTAAATGCTGCTGCTCTGTGGGACATTTGTTTCCTTGTTGGTTCTCCACTGATCCTACGCTTCCTTGGTCATTGTTGTTGTGTTAACTCTGCTTTTTCTTCACAGATGTTGATCTGACTTCGTAGTTAATTTTAGTGTATGTTGGAAAAGGATGGGGAGGTGGTTTCTCAAGTGCTAATCGGCCTTAAATCAAATTTTAAAAAGCTATCTTCTGGCCATTTAATATTTTGCAATAACTGCAAGAGGTCAAAGCACTTAATACCTCCATATTGTTAAGGATGCTCTTTTCATTTTCCAACTTCAATTGTACATAGCAGCTGATTCATAATAAAAAGAAGGGCCAGTTAACATTCAATATATGTCTTAAAATGGCTTTCTGAAGTATGTTAATAGTTTCAATGTAGCTATTTGTAGGAAATTAAATAACAGATGTCAAGCAATGTACTATCAAAGTGTACTTTAGAATTTAGTGTCCCAAAAATGTGTTCTACCTTTATATGTAATTTATCGAGTCCAGTCTATCTAAAATGCCAGTATCAATTTCCCCCTTGTAATTCATGAGTTGGTTTTGAAAGAATGCTCACTTGTGTGCTCAGCACAACATTAAAAGAACAAAACAAAAACTGGGCATTCTGGTAGTGTCCAGCTGGCAGGCCGGGTAATTGGCCTGTAAACAAGTATTAATCTCTGAGAAGTGATTTGCAGCAATAGCAAATTACCTCTGTGCTCAGGATAGGAGCAGATTTCATTAGAGCTGGATCAAATAAAAGCCAACTTTGGAATTACATTTGGAAATCCAAAAGAAGAGGGAATAATTTTTGTGGCCGTCTTACTGCCCTTCATTGATGTAAACCGTGTTGTCATTTGGGAAGTAATAGTGCCTCCTTCTGTTTTTTCCTGCTTTTCCGAGTTACATTTTTCAAGGCAAAGTTCTCATCCTTTCTGTGAAGTTCTGCAGAGCTCATTATGAAATTGGGGAGTATCTTCTGTAGACAAGTTCATTTGGAGTTAACACTGAACAGTAGACATTGCTTGGCCATTTATATACACAGTTAAATTTTATTTGTGCGTTCATGTTTTTCCTTAGAGCATTTTTCTACAATATTTTTTGAAAGATGAGGAAAGAAGCCTAAACCCAGTCTTTAAAAATATCATTGGAAAGCCAATATCAAATCTATTTTCAGGGTTGTAGTTGCACAGTTTGACAACAGAGGGAAGAATTGCACAGCAGCAACAGCCAGTTGTTCCCTACTGCTTTTTAGATAGAGGCAGCTGGTTAATTTTATTTTGAGTATTTTTGTTTCCCTTGTACTTTTACTTTGAAAAAAACTGTGTTTTTTTTCTTTCAATTTTCCAATCTTGGAAGTAGATGAAGTTCTGTACCCTCATTATATTTAAAATATGTATTTGTGTTGCCCAATTAAAAATTGTTATCCCTTCTAAGAGCTTAAAATTGATTTTACTTTTTTCTCGAAACCTTTTCAGATACAAAATGAGGGTTCAAAATAATTTTTTTTAGGCAATGTCTTGTGTTTAATATTAATCATCAAGGAAAGATTACTTTGCTTAATTAGGGGTATATCATCTCCTTCAGAAGCCTGCAAGAAGCCAACTCGAACTCCTTAATGAGTTAACTGATGTGTACTGTGAAATAAATTTAAAAATAGCCCTTTTCATTAAGCTCAGTAATTAAATAATCAGACTTTTGTGGTGGCATTCCTCCTTCTAGGTAGCTGAGATCAATCCTGTAAAAACTTGATTTAGTTCTTGGTTACCAGGAATCACAGAATCAATTTCTTGTTTTATTCTGAAATGTTCTAGAAACATGTCCCTGAAAATGTTGTTTGGGTTCATTTTGCCATGTGAAGGGATGAGATGCAAAGCCAGATGAGAGCTTTGTTCACACAATAAATTGTTTCTTAACTCAAGGTATGCACTTACTGCCATTTTATGAATCTGATTATTGTTCAAGGTGGTTTCTTTGGTCTGGTAAAGCTCTAGCTGGGACTTGTAGCTGATAATACTTCAAAATAACAATGATCTTGAAAACCCAAACTGCTTTTTATAGCCTGGCATTATCCTTGGGGGAATTTCTGGGAAGGATGTCCCCTTTCACAAGGTTCCTGCCTGCTCAGTTTTCCAGGGGTTGAGGTCTCTGGCAGCACAACCGTGTGGTGCATCAGCCACTTGTCCCAGTTTTGGATCCTCAGTGAACAAGAGTGTTTTATTCTGACAGAGAAATTGAATCCTAATGTGTAGTAATAATAGAACGTGTGCTATAAAGGTGTGTCTTGCAGGGATTGCTGTTTTCTCATTTTTTACCTTGGCCCCTTTTGGAGCCAGGGAATAGGGATTGATTTGCCTCAATCTTTGCATTGAACCTCAGCAGTCCTGGAGGTAAATTGTGGGGGTTCCTACTCTTTAAAGCTAGTCTATATTAAGCTCAGTTTTTGTTAGACTGTTGCCCCACAAGTACGTGATATAAAACCCTGCCTTTGATTTAATATTTATCATTAATTAGGGAGGTGAGTTGCTCCTGTATTTACAGACTTCATCAGCTCAAGCTGCTTGTTAACTTATCATTCACTTAATATTCTTCATGTCAGTGATAAGCTAATGTTCAGATCACAGATGTATTACGTTGCCTCCATATGGTGCTTTGTCTAATGAATTAATTAACTGTTTTGGAAAAAATATCCTTGTGGAGATTTTTTTCCTCTTGGTGAAAAGTCACCCTAGAAATGGTGGAAGGGTTTTCCATTGGTGTTTGTGTTTAAGCACATTTTAGTTAAAAACTTTGCAGTCATTTTGCCAGGTTCTTATTTTAATTTTCTTTGCACTTGAGAAAAGTTTGCTTTAAAGTTGATATTTGGCAGTTTTTGAGGAGTTTTTTGAGTCAAATGGCCTTATCCAGTCTACATCTCTTTATCTTTGCCACTTTTGGTGTGCAGTCTTTTAGCTGCTTTGAGAAGCTGGTTGGTTTTCTTTGTTCAAATTGTTAACAATTAGTTTAATAGTGCAGTATCTGTTTCAAATGCTTGCACAGTAAATATTTGCACATACAAATAGAGTAGGTATGAGTGTTTGGGGGTTTGGCACTGTAGATATGTAGAATCACAGAAACTTCAATGCTTCCTTTAGAAGGATAAAAATAGAGGATCTAAAATCAGACTCAGTATTGCAGCCAGTGTTCACACATTGTGTCAGTAGCCTGTGAGTTTTGGCTTGCTCAATATAATGTTAAAATAATTTCTTGACGAAGAAACTTTTTACTACTTTCATTATCATTTGACATAGACAATGTCTGTGTTTTTCTATTAAAAAAAGTCTTCATCTTTCAAGTGTGAATGTTTGAAACTTGAACATAACATTAAAGATAAAAATGTAAGATGCTTTTGCATTAATTCCTGAGGATTATAAATGTACAGTCTGCTTCATTCTGACAAAATATCAATTATAAATCAAGTCTATCAGTCTTTATACCTCCCTGTACCCCACAGTACCCACCTGTAGCAGCTGTGGGCAGCTGCTGACTCTGGTGGTGTGCAGGGCTTGGCTGTGTCACCCTTACAGCTGTGAGCAGCTCTAAAAGGGACCCCTGTGGCACAACACTTAATATTAAATATCAAACTCTAATTAGCTATTCATACAGAAACTGCTCATCTGCATATAAACAGGGACAACGAAAGTAACTCAGGGTAGATGCTGGGTTTGGCTTAAACAAATTAAATGATTTCTTATTATGTTTAGAATATATTAAAAATAACCATGGACCTCCACTTGACCTACCCGAACAAAAGAAATATTTTTGGGTAATGTTTACTATCAAGGTAAAAATGAGGTGAATGAATGTCAGTCAGCAGACTTGCAGCATGTTCAGTGTTACATGTGCGAGGTGTTATCAGTGCCCACCATGTGTCACGCTATCAGTCCCGGCCATCCTTTGTGCGTGTCCCTGAAGGTGCCAGGGCAGAGCAGCAGCGCCATTTCCCCGAGGAGCTGCTCCTTTAACAGCTCTGTCTCTCACCTGAGGCCGAGCGGGCACGGGGCTGGACCGGGATTATGATCATGTGAGGGAAAAGAAGACACGGCTGCAGGGAAGGGAGAGGCAGCGGTGAAAACACATCCTGCCCCAGCCGTCACTCACGGCCGCCTTTAAAAAAAAAAAAAAAAAATCCAAATCCCCAGGGATTGTGGCTGTGCGTTGATATTTAGGAAAGCAAGATTGTTCTGAGTCACAACTTGCTTACCCTGCTGTGCGTGGTGCTGCTGGGCTGCCATGCTGCTGCTTTACACCTTTCTGGTTTCTTCCCTAGAATCCATCTACCGCCGGGGAGCCCGAAGATGGAGGAAGCTGTACCGAGTGAATGGGCATTTGTTTCAAGCCAAACGTTTTAACAGAGTGAGTACTGTTGCATGAAACGTTGGGGTTTGCTCATGTTCTGTGCTCATTGTTTGCCTCAGTCTGTGCTTTTTCTGTGTTGGAGTGTTGGACTGAAAGGAAAAGCAGGATGCTTGTTGATGTGACATTTCGGTCTCTGCGGTGTTATTGGAGTCATAACGAGCAGGAAAAACTTGGCAGTGTTTGAATTTGAGTTAATACAGGATTGGTGGAAATTATTTATTTTTAAAGTCTCTAAAATATTGAGTTTGTCACTGTTTAAGCTGATACATCCTTGGAACAGCTTCTCCCCTCTCCATTCCTCCTGTGATTTTGGTTGCTTGTTAGCAAAATCTTTCACCTTCAGAACACTTTGCCATTTGTAAAACTTACAGCTGCTGATGTGAGCTTTAACTGTTTAGAATCTGGGGTACTACACAATCTTAAGAATTTTAAAAATTGTAAAAAAGATTTTTTTATTGAGCTGAAATACAGCTGCATTTTGAGAGCTTGATTTAATCCATCTAAGCGAGTGAATGTGGCTTTAAGGCTGAGACACCTCCTTCACTTATCCCATTATGCCTAAGTATTGCAGCATATATACAAATGTACTTGGGGGAATTCCACACAAAACTGAGTGCACTCAGAAGAGTTAACTCTTTCCTTTCATTCAGCAGGGACATTTTTTCTGAAATTTGAAATAAGAGTTTTTTCTAAAATTTCCCACCCCAAAAATGCACTGAAAGAAGGAAAAGCCCCTTAAAACTCAACATTTTATCACTAAATTTCTCAAAGATACCACATATGAATTATCACATGAATTTGTATAATGTGCTATAGGAATTAAATTTTTTAATTTATAGTAGAAGAGTATACTTTTTATGTTTATTTGCTACATAATAACAACATATTTCCTTTGAAACACTATGAATGCATACTGCCACATTAAAAAAATTAGGTATAACATTATTGTTTATAAATTACAATGAGGTAAATAGTGAATATACACAGAGATTTTGATACCTCGTTAGGACAGCCACATTAGGATGTCACAGTCCCAAACAAGACTGCTTTTATACCTGCATACAAATGACATCATACAGAGCCAGAACACAAATCACATCCAACTGGAGTTAGTAAGCAGGTTGGCATAAACTGTAAATGTGACATGAAAATGGATAAATTAATGAGAAATTATGGTCATGTCTGTATTACTGAATTCAATACCAAATTTTAGTGTTGATGGAAATTTTAAGACTGGAATATTGCCTTAAGAATTCATTCCTATTTCAAAGTAACCTTTTGCAACTTTTTCAGATCGTTCAGATAAATGAACACATGCAAAAATTTAAACTTTAATCTTGTTGAACATAACATAAAGGTCTGATATGGCTTTGACTGCATGTGTTTTGGAGAGATATGAAAGGGTTACCTGAATTTCTGATGGAATTTGGGACCTGCCCCTACTTCCAGGGCCTGACAGATTTTATTTAGTCTTAATACTACTGCTGCAAAACCTATAAAAGGATACTGAAGGAAGTCTGGTGGGCCAGGAATTTTGGAAGAGGTGGCAATAGATGTCCCAGACTTCCTCTCATCAGGCAGTTTTTGGGTTGTTTTTCTTTCCTCTGGGCAGTGCAGTTTGGGTTTCTCCTGATTGAGGAGGACTGGCTGCACAGATGAGAGGGATGGAATTAATTCTTGTTTTTCACAAAATACAACAAGAGCAATATGAAAATTCTCGTTTGCAGAAACGCTCCATACTTTGATAATTATTTTGTAACTATTCTAGCAGTACTAGCAGGGATTTTCAGGAGCTGAGGAGTTTTGTGTGTGACTCAGTGGTGTGAGCAGTGGAAGGGGAGGAACAGCCTGGCACTGTGGCTGTGGGACAGAGCTTTGGGAGTTGTGGGAGCTGGGCTGGGAGCAGCAGGGCTCCTGTGCAGCTGCTGATGGGCAGTGCCTCAGCCTGCTAAGGAATTACTGCAGAGCACTGGCAGCCAGGGGAGAACGAGTGAATTTTATGTTGGCAAAGGGATCACTGGGCCTGGTGACTTTTTGGTGTGGAAGGATCTCAGATTGTTGTTTGGCACTTTGGGTAGGGTGGATAAAGTGACTATAGCAACATACACTGGAACAATGATTTTAAAACTTCTCCTGTTAAAGTCAGCAGCAGGATGTCTGGCTTCTTCATTTACCCTCGTTTTGATTTAATTCACTTACATGCTCTTTAGTTACATATGTAAAAACACAGATTTTTCAATGCTTAGTGCAATACAGAGGCTTGATATCAGACATGATTAATGGATTTTAATTATGCAAAGTTTCTACCACTGTTAAAATGTATAGGTGTAGATGTAGAACACTTCTTATACGTTGTCTGCTTAACATGTTGTGCCAGTGTTCTCCAACACAGTCAGTTTGGGTGATTTTATACATAATTGTGTAGTACAAATTTCTGGCAGTTTTGTTAGGGTGACCTCTGTCAAAACCTGAGATTCTAAATAGACTTATTCTCTAAAAATGATTTGCTAATGTCACACTGTAATGTGTTCCATATGCTTGAGGTATTTGTTTTCCTAGCATTCATTTAAAAAGAACTGCATTTAGCTGAGTTCTGGGTGTGAAGTGTAACCTTCAGCTATTATTATAATTCTGGGTATTCTAAAATTATTACTAAACATCTGTTAGGTGACTGGGATGGGCTCTTGCTGCTAGAGAACTGCTCACTTCTAGCAGGGATTGATCCTGGAACTGATCCTGTGCTTTGTGGCTTGCAGAGAGCATACTGTGGCCAGTGCAGTGAAAGGATATGGGGGCTCTCAAAGCAAGGCTACAAGTGTATCAACTGCAAGCTGTTGGTCCATAAACGTTGTCACATCCTTGTCCCACTGACCTGCAAAAGGCATATGGTGAGTGTGTGTCCTGGCCTGGGCTGAGGGGTGCCACTCTGGCCAGTGCTGCTGTTGTAGATGTGTCCTGACTAATGAAATGTGGGCATGGCTGTGGGTTTGTAACTCTTGGGAGTATTTGGGTTTCAGGTTGTGTGGAGGACAAGCCTTGGGATTGTGAGCAGAGAGAAAGTGAGAAAGAAAGCTTGTGCTGTGACTTCAGTGTGCTCAAGCTTGAATTTGACTTCTCCATTAGACACTGACAACCTCAGAAGTTATTCCTTTTAGGCTGTGGGAATGTTCTGAGAGCTAAGACACTGATATAACTTCTGCTTTTTTCAGAAAGGCTTATTGCTTTCCTGTTTCTGCCATCTCAATTTCTCCAGTACTGTTCCCTTCCTCTCCATGACCCTCATTCCTGTGCCAATGCTGGTGTCTTTCCTAGGCTTTAAACATCAAAACATTTAAACATCTGTATCTGAACTTTAGCCTTTTCCTGCATTCATCCCCAGTATTTCACTGGTGGTTGTATCATGTTTTTTGTGACTCAGAACTTAAACCAGAATTTTTCTTTGCTGGTATTGTATGTGACTTTCCTTGACATTACTAATTCTTTGCCAATTAATTTATGCATGCTGCTGTACTTCCTGGAATAATCCTACTTGTCTTGGGGATGAGCCCAGGGTCCAAATGTATAAAATATCCATTATTGTGATCTTCACAAATTTATGCATAATGAGCAACAATTCATGTTTTTATTAAGCAGGAAAGGAATATGCCAGTGCTCTAAATGGAGTGTTTAACATCATACTGAAGTGTTTGTTTTGTTGTAGTTCCACATGAAACACTCAGAGGTCTTTAAGTAGAATGAAAGTTTGAACTTTGCTGTAAAATACACCACTCTTACTTTTAGAAGACAGCCAAGCATTTGTTGTAGCTGCAGAGAATGGCAAATGCAGCTTTTAGATTTCGGTAGTCTGGTTTTATCATGCATTACAAAATGTTAACATTGGACACATAGTGTCCAGAATGCAATTTTCACAGTGGAAATGTGAGGCTCTGGGGGTGCAGGCAGGGCTCTGCCAGGGCCTACATGGCCAGGGGGTTGCTGTGTGTGTGACCTGTGTGTTTGGCAGGATTCGGTCATGCCTTCCCAGGAACCTCGCTTAGATGATAAAAACGATGAGGCTGATCTCCCTTCAGAGGACACTGATGGAAGTGAGTACTTTGTTAATTTAGAATCCCTTGCCCTCGTTTTTTCCTCTTCTTCTTTACAAAAGTGGAAAAATATGGTCAGCTGTTCAGTAATATTTAAAGCAAGCTGACCATAAGCTACTAAGTATCTTTCTGTTTATTGATTTTTAAAACTATTTCAATGAAGGCTTTTCTAACCACTTTATAACTACTTTGATTTCTTTTCCAGTTCCCTACATTCCTTCCAACCGGAAACATGACACCATTAAAGATGACTCTGAGGTATGTTCTTAAAATATTTTTGCAATTTGTATTTATGTACTCCAAATCACAGAATGAACTAGGTTAGGAGAGACCTTTGAGATCATCAAGTCCAACCTAATAATTAAACTTTTTATAAAATAGCTGATTATTTGTTCTGGGCTTTCTGCTGCCCTTTTCAAAAGTCTGTTTTATTTTGTTTTTTTCCTGAAAGTTCATAATTTTTAAAAGCATTTTTATTGGATTTTTTTTCAGATTACTTTGTGTTCAGCTGCTGTCATTCCACTCATGACCCAAGATATCTTTTAACATTTTTGTTTTCTCACTTCTATTTGTTGGAATAACAGTGATTTAGCAGAGGGTTTGATTTTATGGTCCTTGCAACAAATGGTGGCTTTGCCATTGCCTTGTCTGCTGTCCCTAATGGATTCTCACCCTTTGTCACCCTCAGGCTCTTGCTGTGGAACTTGGTTCAGTCTGGTAATCCATTAACCACCCAGTTCTCTGAGAGGGGTCATATAAACAATACCTAAGCATTTATAGACAGCTCCTGTGGAAACACAAGCAGAATGACATACACTTAAACTCTTTATTCAGGGCTTTTGTAGAAGATCTGACTCAATCTCTGCACATCAACAATGTTATTCCTTTAGAGCAGTCTGAAAAATCTGAATATGCTTCAATTCTAAAGGGCTTAAAGACATTTAAGCATGCTTCTGGCATGGTTAAAATAAATAGGATGCACTCTGCAGAACACTGGCAGTTTCTCTGATGTTCCCCTCTGAGCAAGGCTGCACCTTTTTCCTTTGCCTCCCCTACAATACTTGTCACTACCATTCCTTTCACACTTGAGTAGCTCCTGCTCCTGGGTGACTGCCTTATTTTCAGTCATGTAGCTACAGATTTTTATCTCAAATTCAGAAACAGAAGGGTAGAAATTAAAAGCACATCAGAGAATTTTAATTGCTCACTTTGGCTTTGATCAGTGCTCAGGTTTGTGTTGAAATTTGGTAGGTGCTGATTGCTCAACCATCCTGAATTTTGCTGCCCTGATTGTCCCACCTTACCTTGGAGCTGTAGTGAAATAATTTAAGATATCCTATGGAAAGGAGTTGGTGTTCTGGGAGCTTTGTCTACAATCTTTAAGCTTAGAGCAATCTCTTCTAATAGCAGTCAATCCTAGATCAAGATTCTTTATATAAACACTTTCCACAGTTCTGCAGAATGCTGATCTGTCTGCAAGTACAGTAGTGAGGTCAGATAAAAATAGGCCACAGAAGTGTGTCAAAGCCTTGGGTATATTGGTAAAACCTGAAAGTCCAAGTACCTGCTGCATTTGTCTAGTTCAGCTGCTCCATCTTCAGTCCCACGTTTTCACATCTAATTCCATCAAACAGCCAGGACGATAAAATTTCTCTTTTTAAAATAATGAATTTAAAAATAACATTCTTCATAGTAGAATATTTCATGCAAATTCTCAGACTTGAGAAATTGAGATCTGCTTCTGTGTTCCCAGGAACCTGTTAGAAATCTTAATTTTCATTAAAATTGTAGTGAGCTGGACACTGACAGTTGTTGCCTAAACTGAAACCACGACAGGTTTCATTAGCAAATTAGTATTTCCTTAGTCATCTTATTTTTAGATAGCCTTTATTAATTTGTGCTGTATCTGTCAGAATATGAACAATGCTCCTCACTTTGTACAAAGATACAATGTACATGACTTGAGGTTCAGGAATTTGGATAAACCTCATTTCTCAAGGCCTTCTGCTTTCCAGCAAGGAATATGAAAATGATTAGTTGGATGAACTACTGCCTTGAAAAAAACAGTAACTTTTAGTAAGAGCAAACCCAATGGAAACCAAGCATTTCTAAACAAATGTGTTCCAATCAGCATCCAGCCCTGGGTGCCAGTGCCAAGCAAAGTCAGCAAATTCTGTCCAGTGCTTAAAGAGCTCTCTGCTTTAATAGTTACTTGCTATGGAAATGTCTTCAGTTTCTAGCATCTGTTTCTTTTTATACAGGATCTCAAACCAGTCATTGATGGAATGGATGGAATTAAGATTTCTCAGGGGCTTGGACTCCAGGACTTTGATTTAATCCGAGTTATCGGCCGTGGAAGTTATGCCAAAGTTCTTCTAGTTCGGTTAAAAAAGAATGATCAGATTTATGCTATGAAAGTGGTGAAAAAAGAGCTGGTCCATGATGATGAGGTAAAAGTCTGTGTTAATTGCATTCTGTTACATATTATAGAAACTTACTATGCTTTAACAAAAAATATTCAACTGAGCAAGAAGCTCATGTTTCAGACAACTTCTCTGGCAGAGAAGTTTTTCTGACTTTTGAACTCATTTGTCATCAACTCTGCATGAAGCACCAGGATAAAATCTGAGAGAAATGTCCCTTATTAAAATAACAATTAACAATTACTAATAGTCTTGGTAGAAATCATGTATTAAACATTCCAACCTGGATGTGTTAATCTGTAAGTGATGAGATAAATGGGGTGGAATTTGTGCACTCAGTTTTGAAAGAAAGCAAATATGTTTTCCAAAGCAAAAGCATTGTCTATGTGTCAGAAAAGGAGCTGAAACTTTGTTCTTACACTCAGGTTGGCAGAGCCTATGTGCAAGTGACTCAGTACCCTGAAATACTTATTCCATGGATTCAGAAATTATGCCACTGCCATTTGAGATTCCAGTGGTTTTGTCTGCTGCAGAAATCTACTGCATTTCTCTGTTCTCAAAATCCTTTCATTTCTTGATACAGGATCTCAAATGCACAAGTTTAGGGGGAAAAAAAGAAAATCAATAAGGGAAAAAAAAACAAAAGCCCTTCATTTTTTTTCCTAGAATACATTTTTCTGAAAGTAGGATGTTTGGGCAAAAACCACCCAACCACTATTTTAAGTGCTCTTTGTGTTGGTCATTTCAATCAGTTGCTCTGGCAATCTTTGTCATTATTCCAGAGGCTGGGCTTAGTTCTCCTAAAATACTTTGACTTTCTCATTTATTTGATGTTTCTTTTTATGAACCAAGAGGAGGCTGTTGTGTGGTTTATTTACTGTTTCCTTTTTAACATGAGTTTTTCCAAGAAGGTGGGAGCCAAAGCCAAGGCCAGTTTAATGAGTTGTGCAGCTGTTTGAGAACCAGAGGTAGATGAGGAAAGGCTTTCTGGAACTGTGGCTCTCATTATTACATTGAAGATAGAACTAACAGGTTTTTCTTTTCTCTAAGATAGGTTGTATAATGAAATTCTGGGAATTGATAGGAAATTCACTGAATTCTCTGAGTGCATGAGATATTGCAAGTAATGGAAATTTCACCTTAGAAGTGTTCCACAAAGAAAGAAAATCAATTACATAGCAAGTATCAGCATGTTTAAACTAGCTGGTGCTTTCCAGGGTATGGCTGGTAGTGGAGAGAAGTGAGATGGAGGGAAATCAAATACCTGGGCTTCAGTTCTGCTAAGGTTAGTTTTGTTAAGTGGAGCACTGGTATAATCCTAATGCCAAGTACACTAATGAAGAGTTAATTTAAAGACTCTTAAATAAGAGAAGCTCATTTAGTAAAACCAATAAGAAGGGGACATATTTAGTGCTTTATTGAAAATTGGATTTTTAGCTCTGGAATTTGGTCTGGACTCAGGTTTACCCTTCCAAGGTGATGTCTCTTCATAAGGGTCCACACACAAAACCTAGCAGGTTTATTTAATTTGATGGTGACAGTTCTTGGTTTCCTCTGCTGAGACTTCAGTGTCAGCATCCATCCCTGACAGGAAGGGCTGATTTCTCAGTCTCTGAATTTATTGTCTCCAGATTGGTTGGGAAGCTGGGAGTATCTGTGGTAAATGGAGAATTTTTAGAACAATGACAGTTCTGGTATATTGGCAGGGTGTTTGCAGGGTGGCACATGATCAGTGCATTGCATGAAGGGTGAATATCTGCTGCTAAACCCAGCTGTCTGTGATGTTTAAATTGTGTGGGGGTATATGAAGTAAAGCTTAAATGCTTTGTTTTCACAGCTCTGAATTTTGCAGCACTGTGCCAGTAATCTGTGGTAGGTTTTTATGATGTGGTTTTGCACTGGGTATTCAGGACTTCTCCCTATTGAAGGATTAAAGATATCTGTGATGCTTTTAATGATTTTGGCTGGACCAACTAAGCAGGTTTTGGTAGTTTCATTGAATTAAATTTGAATTTCAGATGAGGAGATGAAGTTCAGTTCACTTGAACCTTTTAAAAGCTGAAGATTCACATTGCTTGTGTTACTGGCATGAGCTGCTTCAGCAGCTTTGGGATCATTTCTCAAAGGACTGAATTTATTTCCATGCAGCAGTGTGAGCAGTTTATCAAATATTACAGATGTATGTTGTTAACAATGGCTTAGATTTTGTTCAGACCTTCCTTAAATGGTTAAATAGCTTCTGAATATATGACTGAATTATGTTTTATAGTTTCCTCCAGATTTTAAGGGGTGTTTGCCTTTCTGAAGAACAATGTAACAGTGACAGTGTGTGTAAGGCAGCACTGTGATGTTCACAGGTACTTTTCTGGGATACCCACAGTGGTTATCCAGCAGGAGTTCTGATTGTTCAATTATTCTATTTCAGGATATTGATTGGGTACAGACAGAGAAACATGTGTTTGAACAGGCATCCAGTAACCCATTCCTAGTTGGTTTACATTCATGCTTTCAAACAACAAGTCGGTAAGAAAGATCTGAAATTCTTTTTTTTTTTTTTTTTCTTGAGAATCTTTGTGCTAAACTGCTTCTCCTAAAGCAAATGTAACCACTGCCATCACACAGCCAGGAGTTACTGGGAGGAAGCATTAGCATTGTCAGGAATTCCCTGCTGCAACAAAGTCAGTTCTGGGGGGTAGCTCAGGCAGGGGTGTGGAGCAAACTGTGATGTTCTGGGTCAGACCTGAAGGGAGAGGGGGAATGAGGAACAGGAGGAGCTGTCCTGCCTTCCTGAGCACAGCCCTGTGGAATGGGGAGCACGGAGCTTCCCAAGAGTTGGCAGCACCTCCTACCGAGGAGGCCAGATCAGTTCTCAGCAGTCCAGTGTTCCTAAAGAGCCTGGGAGTTGGGCTGTGCAGTGAGAACCTTTTAATGATAATATAAACCCCTGCCTGCACAGTGGCATTGTTACCTGTGAGCCTTAAAAGCCTTTAGCACATATCAAAGCAGTGTGTGATTTTTGAGAAAGTGCTTATTTAACTCTTACCTACTTAGAAATATTAATTCTTTGTCCCTGTGTGCACAATCCAAACTGGATTATTTGCTGCTTACTTTGGAATTGGAATATGAAGAAAACAAGAACTTCCATGTCCATGCTAGAATGTTTTACTGGGGAATTGGGAGATGGTTTGGGATATTTTTTGTTTTCACAGGCACCGTTTGCTGTTACACTTTTTTATAATGCCTCATGCCATTTGTGTCATAATCAGAAAATGGTCATTCTATGCAACTTACTTGCAGTGTAGAGTGCAAAGTCTTTAAAAAGTTCTAATGGATTGTCCAGTCATTTATCCCTAAGAATAATCACCTGTTTGTTGTAATGGGTATTGTCAAGTTTTAAAATACAAAGCCATGCACTGTACCTTTTCTTCAGACCCCAAATTTTCACCTCCCTAATGGTCAGAGGAAATCTTCCTAGCAGGGAAAAGAGATGAAGGAAGTAAAGGAGCTGTATCAGTGTTCTCAAGCTACATGAACCAAGGAGTGTTTGGAAGCAAGGAGAAAGAAATAAAGAATGATCTCCAAAGGTCACTGAGTGAGGATTTGACCAAAACAAACTTGTCAGAAAAAATAAATAAACCTTTAGACAACTGATAAACTGTTGAGAAAGTAAACCAATGTTCCCAAACACTCTCACCAAACACAAAGTAGAATTGTACACCTGATACAAGAATTCAAATGGTCAGGTACTTGAAGGGATGGAGAAGGACATTTCTTGTAACTACTGAAACCCAGAAAAAGGCTGAGTCAGCAGCAGGATCCTGTGCATTCCTCTTTGGCAGCTACACTGACAGAGCAGAGGAGCAGAAATAGAAAAAAAACCCATGCTGAACATAATCAAATCTTTCTGTATTCCTGATGTATCTTTGAGTCCTGCTTTTCCAGCCCAGCTGCTTCTTGCAGTGAAACTCCAGTTTTTTGTTGGTAACTTCAGCCATTTGCCATGGATATAACCATAATGTCATGAATTCACAATTTGATTATAGCTATAATGTTATAGAAACATAATTATGACCTCATTTACATCAAGCAGGAAAAGCACAAAACTGATTCTGAGTGAATAAATTCATCAACATCAGATTGTGTTAAGTGGCCCAAAGAAAATGAGTTGTAATAGAACAGGTTGTGACAAGGATACTAATGGGGGGAAGGTTGCAAAAAATCTTCTTTCTCTTGAATATAGTTTAAAATAATTTTTTAACCTAAATCTGTACCTAAATGTGAGGTTAATTGATGCTGTATGTAGCTGTTCATTGTTTCAGATACTGATGATGCTTGCTTCATTATTATAATAAAATACATGCCTTGGTCTTGCTCAGAATTGCCAGATAAATGTCTTCCAAGGATGGCAACAACCTGAAACCTCCATCCTGCCAAACTGATGCTGTTTTCAGTAAATCCTTCTAAACCCAGCAAGGCCTGCCATTACTGCCACACTTGAATATGACTTGACAAGGAACTTGAAATTGCAAGTTCTGAATGGTGATAAAAAAACTGGGCACTTCAAAATAGGATAGGAAAGCTGGAAGCAAAAAACATCAGGAGTGCTGTAATAAAGTAGTCATGGCATTATGTGTTTTGTTTGTTGTTTATTTAATTTCAGTTTAGCATTTATCTTCTTGTGGGGAGGCCACTCAGAGCCCTGCCAGCTGGATTTTGTCCAATAGATTTTCCTGGTTTAAGTTTTAACACTTTATAAGTGTTTCAAATGAAGAATCCTTTTCCAAGGAGCAAAACAATCACCAGCTAGAGTGATCTGAGAGACTGGAGCGTGTGTTCTCCAAATGGAAAGTTTTCCAGTGTGTGGATGTGTGGAAAGGAGTTTGCAGCTCATGGAAAATGAGGAAATGCTGCTCCCTGGGCCAGCCCAAACTTCCCCAGAAGCTCTCCCTCAGCATTTCCTATCCTGAGCTCTGTCTGACCTTGGCAGCACTGCCTGGGTCATATTTTCCCAAGGATGAAAGCTTTCCTGCAGACTGTAATAGGAATCCTTCTATCTGCCCAACTCTGTCCTCTGCTGACTTTTCCCTAGTTTGGAGCAGCCTGTTTCAAACATTCATTCTCCAGGGGAACAAATGAACCCAGAGCTTCCATCTGGTGCCTGTGTTGTGTACAGTGTCACACTTGTTTAATTCACATAATTATAACTTAAATTAAATTAATTTATACAGGTAAAGGTGGTAGCATTTAAATAAAGAGGGTGTTCCTACATAATATACATCAAATAAAATTTTTTTCCTTCTTCAGTAGCTTCTGTAACTATAAGAAATCTAGAAGTCTGAATCCAGAGTAGAAGTGAAAATGGCTCAGATGGGAAGGAAAAACCAGCTTTTCTGGAGAGTTTCCTTGGAATGCATGAATTGTGTTCTGTAATTTCAGATTGTTCCTTGTCATAGAGTATGTCAATGGGGGAGACCTCATGTTCCACATGCAACGGCAGAGGAAACTTCCTGAGGAACATGCCAGGTATTTCCTGCCCCAGGGCACGTGTTTGCTTCTCTTCTGCTGCTTTCATGGACTTGGATTCTTTAGTTTAGAATGTCCTGCCTGGGAAGAAATGTAAATTTTATTATTTTTTTTTTAAGGATAGGAGTATTTTTAGAGAGCAAGCAGTTCATCAGTAGTAGCAGTTATTCCAATTTACTCCTCTTTATTGCTTCATATTTAGGTGATGCCTCTTTGATCTGTTGATAGAACATGTAATATTCTGCCTAATTTGCTCTGATGTTGAAATAATACAGTATTGGTGGGAGAAGATAAAAAATCCAATTTGTGTGGCCTTGCACTAAACAAAGGCTCACTGTCACTCTGAAGAAAAGGAAAATAAAGATCTTCCTTCTGGCTATGTGGAATTTTCAGAAAAAAAATCTGTGGAATAAAGAATAAATATTTTCTTAATTAGTAGAATGAAAATAAATCTCATTTTTATTTAGGAAATTTTCTTATAAGAGATCAGTGTCTTTATGAATAAATGTAGATTGGATATTTTATGCTATTGATACATAAAAGTTGACTGTAAAATGATGTTTTAAGAACAGATGTTTCAATTGCACCAGCTTTTTTACCAACCTAATGCTAATATGAACTTTCTCCTTCTTAATTTCAGGTTTTATGCTGCTGAAATTTGTATTGCTCTAAACTTCCTACATGAAAGAGGCATCATCTACAGAGATTTAAAACTGGACAATGTTCTCTTAGATGCAGAGGGTCATATCAAATTAACAGATTATGGCATGTGCAAGGTAGGATTTTCCTGACCTTTCTTTTGTCACTCTTAGAGAACACTAAGAAAATTCATCTTTATATTAACACTAGTGTTACTGAGCCCAGAATTTGGTTGTGGAATTGGAAGTTTATTCTGAAAAAACGTAACTGTTGAATAGAAAGAAACATATTTGGAATTGAATTGTAATAGAAGTGCGTTTTTTTTTCCCAACATCTATTTGAAAAGGACTTCCAAATTGTTTTTTTAAATGTATCTGTAATTAGTAAGCAAAACATTGTTACCTACATGTTGTAGCTCAGTTTTAATCAACTTTGCTGCTGAGGAGCTGTGGAGTCCAAGGCCATTCTGAGCACTATGAGTGTTTATTTTGTGAAAGGAAGCTCTTTAAACTCTTTGAGTAACTTGGATTTTAAGTCTGCTTAAAGGAAATACCCAGAAAAGGAGGTCAGCTTTTAATTTATGAAATTTAATTTATGAAATGATTTCTGCATGTAGGAAGGTTTGGGCCCAGGTGACACTACAAGCACTTTCTGTGGGACACCAAATTACATTGCACCAGAGATCCTCAGAGGAGAAGAATATGGTAAGTCATGCTTAAACAACCTATAGTTACAATAAATATAGCTGTAGCTTGGTTCAAATACAATTATTTTCTTGACTTACACATTTCTGTGTTAATATATAATAAAACTTGAGTGCTTGTTGTACAGTTTAATTTTTTTCCTGAAATAAAGGGTTTTTTTTCTCTTTCAGTCACTAATTTCAGCTTATTTTAAATCATACTTGGCCTGAAAAATATTTAGTAAATTATATTATAGGAAAATATTTTAACTGCAGCTTTGCTGCCTGCAGACACCTCTGAGTTCTCCATTTGTCATCCCAGTGGAGAAAACCCAGACTCACCCAGTGATGGTGTAAATCATGTCAGTGATTTCAGTATGAAGCCAGGCCATCCATCTTGATTTGAGTGAGAGAGAAGATGAAAAACCCAAGGAGTGCTGGCTGAGCCATCTCCATGTGCCATTGCAGGGTTCAGTGTGGACTGGTGGGCACTGGGGGTGCTGATGTTCGAGATGATGGCGGGGAGGTCCCCGTTCGACATCATCACTGACAATCCCGACATGAACACTGAAGATTACCTCTTCCAAGGTACAGCCTTGGCCTTTGGGATGGTTCTTTTGGGGGGGGTACAATCCAGATGGGCACTTTGCATAGCAGGGTTGAGGTTTCCTCTCCCAGTGTTACCCCAGGCCAGGCAAAACTTCTTTAAAGCAGTTGCTGCAGTTCTGTACCAGAATCTGTCATGCTCTTCTTGAAGGGCTGATATAAAATCAATTTCTGTCTAAAATCACACTTTGCCATATACTGAGGACTGAAAGTTTTATTTCCTGTTTACACAACAAATAATGGCAAAAGGTCATGAAGGTAACATGTCCCTTATGAAATCTTGTAATGTCAATAGAACAATACCTTGAATTCCTGTAGCTCCTTCTATTTGCAGGGTTTTAAATAATTTCTTTATCTTCCATTTTTTAACTGGCTGAACCATGCTGAATTAATAAGTATTTGCATTGAAATCATGGTCAATGTCACAAACCAAAAGCCAATATTGCTGTTTTTAAACCTGTCACAGTTATTCTGGAGAAGCCAATCCGGATTCCAAGGTTTCTTTCTGTCAAGGCTTCCCATGTGTTAAAAGGATTTTTAAACAAGGTAAATAACATTCTCTTATTTTTAGAATCTGAAAGCTGGAAGTCAGAGCTTCCTGTTGAAAGTGATACAGTTAAGAAGTTAATCTGCTTACTGTTAAGAAAATCTATAAAACCTTGGTATCCTCTATGTTAAAAACCCCACTTGGTTTCAAAATTTCTGAGGAAATTCCACAGCATAGGCTTGATGTTCAACTAGGTACAGGCTTTTAAAAAGTAACTCTAACTTTGTTTATAAACTCTTTTCTGTAATACTTATTACTCATTTAATTAAGCTGACTGAAATCTGAAGAACCATTATCATGAATGGAAAAAAGGATACGAATTATATGTTGCTAAATAAATCCCTTATTTTAAGAAGTTGTGAAAGATCATTCAAAAATTAACTTTTGAACAAATTTTATTAAAAAAAAAAAGATTAAACATCCCTTGCTAGCCACTGTGTTTATCCCAGCAGAATTTGCACAGTCATGGGAATGCTGGAGTCATCTCTGTGGGCTTTTGGCAGCCGTGGGCTGTAAGAGGCTTGGAGTGTGTAATTCCAGTGTCTGTGTTTTCCACAGGATCCCAAAGAAAGGCTTGGCTGTCAGCCCCAGACAGGATTTGCTGATATCAAGTCTCACACGTTTTTCCGCAGCATAGACTGGGATCTGGTAAAAATCACTCCTTGTGTTTCTGGGTGTTCAAAAGCAATCATTCAGTAATTTATTGGTTGTGTGCATAGGAACAACCCTGTTGCAAACAGGGAAAATGAATTCTAGAAGTGTAAAAGCAGTGTGGTCATACATCAAAAGCCAGCTGAATGTACCAATTCTGTGACCCCTAAAATCAGCAGGATTATTGGGTGAGTGTCAGGGTTTAGTGACCTGAGGAGGAGTGAGCAGGATCAGTCCCTTTTGTTGAGGATGTGGCAGGAGAGCAGTGGGGTTATTTATAAAGGGGCTTTCATTGCAGTTTGCAGGTTTTCTTTAGTACTGCTGACATGAGGGAGGGTTTTGGTTCGTGGTGAAGAAGATAACTTGCATTTCAGTGGGTTTGCAAGCATAAAATTGTATCAAAAATGGGTTTTTAAATCTTCTGCTACTTGGTAATTGTGTTAACGTCTGTCTTCAGTGTGGAAACCATCCCAGAGATGCCACAGTAACATTTATTGACACTTGAGCAATAAAGCTGTGAAGTCTGGAGCACCTCCCTATCAGCATTACATTTTAATAGGTAGTTAAGAATTGAAAAGTGTGTCTGTAGTATTTCCATAGTCTGGGAAGGTGCAGGAAGTGTAGGAAGAGGCAGCACTAACATGAAAGAGTTCAGATGAGAGAAAGGTGCACAGTTTCAATTTCCCTTTGAAGCTGCTGCTCTGAATTTCATTGTAACATTCTTCAGAGAACACAGTGCAGAAGGAGCCTGTGTTTTAAAAGACTTGGTGTTTACAAAATTATCCTTATAATGAGGGCTGTCTGTAATTTTTCAGACATCCCTTGCTTGGAGTTCTCCCTTCAACCTGAGTGGTTTTGGTTTTTTTTCTAAATTAAAAAAAAATATGTAATTTTTTTTTGTGGTGTTCTTTTTGGGTTTTTTGCTATTTTGTGGTGCCCCAGTGCAGCTCACCTGGGGATGTGGAGCAGAACATCATGCCCTGCAGTTTGTTCTGCTTTGCAGTTTTTTGAGAGAGAGGAAAATAAGACAACTGTTGGATTTGCATTTTGTTTGTTTGTAGAAAAAACTCTTCATTCAAACATTCAAATTGGTACTTCTTGGTCAACATTTGTGCTGATTGAATTTTTACAATTTCTAACATATTTTTATGGCTGAAAGCTTTAATATTAAATCCCAGTTTTTAAAAACAATGGAAAGATTTGGGTTATCTGTTTTGTGATATGATTAGGGCAGTACTGCTCAGGAGGATCAACGTCAGATAGATTTGAAGTTAAATTTCTAATAAGTTTCAGCAAATGTGCTTAGGAAAAAATGAGAAAATACTTGGAAAGCTTTTTTAGTTAATAGAATCTCCTACTCACCACCTGCATTTCAAAGAAACCATTTGGACTTAAAAGCTTTTCCAAATCTTTTCAAGTTGTAACCTAAGGAAACGAGTCTAACACTGACTTAAAACTTGTTCTGTGTGAAGCTTGAGCTAAATGGAAAAATAAATACAGGGAAAGTGAGCACAGAGCCCAAGAACATTTTTCCTGGTGTTAGTCATCCCAAGTGTGTGGCACAGCCCAGAACACTTCAGATTGCTCATTCTGGTGTAGGATGGCTCAGCAGCATCCAGGGCAGTTCTTTTTTGGATTGTTTTGGGATTTTCAGTCTATTCTTATCTCAGTGCCTGTTTTTTGGTGTTTAACCATTGTATGCTGGAGCAAGAACTACAAAGCCATAGTTCCTGTTTGCAGTGAGGTATTTTCTAGAGCTGCACCACCTATTTTTTCACTCCTTTTCTCAAGGTAAACGCTGCAGAGTCTCTCTGTGGCTGATTTAAGAGGGCTTTTATGTTTTACTGAGAGTAACAAAGGAGGAAGTCTGATATTTAACCCCTGGTGGAATAATGCCTGGCTGCTGGATGTGTGTGGCAACAACTCACAGGGACAGACAGTCCTGCCACCCTACTTCAGGTTTTAAATACTCATTTTGCTGATTCCTTCACGTTGCCATTCTTGTTTGAGAGGAGCTGATTATTTCTTCCTCAAAACTTTGATTTCCTGGTGCTGCCTCAGACCTGGTCATCGATGGGATGTTGATGTGTTAATGCATCACTCTGTGACAGTTTCACAATTTCCTCCTATCTCCATCTGTACTTCCTGTGCTCTTGTCTGAAACCTGAAATCCAAAATTTTTCTGTTATTTATTCCCTGTTTTATTTGCTGTGTACCAAGCATCATGAGAGATCCTGGCCTTAAAATCAGGTTTTTACCCAGTGCTGGTAATACAAGTGATCATTTTGGTCAGTGGTAACTACTACTCACTCTCATCACACTTACCTGTCCTAAGTTAGATTATGGAGATTTGTAGCCTAGACAGTTTTTTAACTGAATATAAATGTTGGAATTAGAATTGATGTCTGTGCTATTAGAAATTGGATTATGTGACGGATTGCACACAAATGCAGTAAGAAAAGTAGGTTGATTTCTCAGGAACAAAAGTAAATATATTGTGCTAACTGCTGTATTGCAGCACTGTGGGAATTTATCAATCCTGAGGCTAATCTACCAATTTAGAGGAAACTTAATAGGCTTATTATTTGTGGATTTTTATTTTAAAATGCAGAGCAGTAACTGTATTGCTGTCTGTTGCCTGGCGTGTAGTGTGTACTACTGGGTATGTTGATGTTCCTTTCCAGTAGCATTTACAGCAGTTGGCTTTGAGTTTCCTGAGGGATGCTGTAACTCCTCCACAGTGTAATTTTTCCCTTTCCCCCCCACATTTTGGGTAGCTGGAGAAGAAGCAGACGACGCCCCCGTTCCAGCCGCAGATCACGGATGATTACGGGCTGGATAACTTCGACACGCAGTTCACCAGCGAGCCCGTGCAGCTCACCCCAGATGATGAGTACGTGCTGCTTTGCTAGAAATTAATTCAGAAATTATCTGCAAATCACTTAAGAGACTATGTGCTTGCTGTTAGAACACTGTCATGTTACAGTAAATTTGAAATTGAGTCTTGCCTAACTTACTGCATGATAAAGGACTGCCCAGCGTTTCTGATAAACTAAACACTGCTCTCATTTGTTTTTCAGAGATATAATAAAGCGAATAGATCAGTCAGAATTTGAAGGATTTGAATATATTAATCCATTGTTGCTGTCAACAGAAGAAACAGTATGAAGGAATGACCTCGTTGGGGACAGTGTGAATGACATTAATTTATCCTTAACTACAGTATATGCATGCGAGGCTGGGGACTGGTCACTGGATGGAGACCAATGATCTAAAAACAAATTTGCTGCTGAAAATCAAAGAAGAGAATAATGATTTTGGTGGGTGTCCTCTGCCACTTAGTGATTCTTAAGTTCTGGGCACTGACACAACTGGCTTCATTAATGAAGGAATTTGCATTTTGTGCCTGTATCATGAAGGATTGAAACGTTCATTGCATCCCTGCAAAAGGAGATCATGAGAAACTTTGAGATCCACACTCTTTCTACAAACATTTGATGCAATGAGCTCCCAGTTGAAGAGTATTACAGTGTAACATCCTGAAGAATAAAATATATTACGGTGGTGTTGAAGCTTATTTTTGATGCCTTTTTTCACAAGTGGTACCTGTCTAAACATCTCAGATATATTTAAAAGGAGTTGTGTTTTATTAGCAATCAAAACATAAATTTGGGTACAAGATTTAAGTGCCTAAATGGATAAACTGCATTGAAGGATTATTGCGTATTTGGGACGTGCTTACACCTGGTAAGTTCTGCTTGTTAATATTAAGTGACATTTCCATCTGAAACATACAGTTCACAGCTGCAGCCTGATGTTTAGTTGCATTTTTACAGAATTTGGAATGCAGAGTGACTCAGTGAGATTAATTCCAAATTAGAATTTACTGTATCAATTTCAGAATCTGTTGTCTTAAACTCCAAATTTACCAAAACGTAGAGATTGAAGAAAACTAAATTTGCACACAAAAGATTTCTAAACATACTTAAGCAGTGCCTACACCTACAATGATATTGTGTTGTATATTAGATTTTTGAAAAGTATTTTTATCAACAATACAAATATTCAAATGTAGAGCAAAAGCATAGTAAAGCATAGCCTTAAAGTTTAAGTAGTAAATCTAGAATAACCATAAGATAAAATCCACTTTCCTGATAAAGCACACCTCCTACTTATGATAAACTGTCTGCTTACAGTTGCTCAGTGTATACATTAATAACTAATCATTCTGCAGCAGAGAATGGGATCTTTCAGTGAAATGATTTGCATCAAAGGAGTACAATTCTTTTAATGGAAGAAAAACAAATACCTAAGAAATTGGAAGAGGCAAAAGAACAAGTGTGGAATCCCTTGTGGGGGGACTGGGGGGTGCCGGGGGCAGCGAGGGCTCCGGAGCTGGCAGAGCTGTGCTGGGGCTGCCCCGAGCCCCAGCGTTCAGCCCTGGCACAGCAGCGAGGCTCCGCTGCCTCCGGGGCTGCTGCGGGGAGGGAAAACATAAACCCTGTGCTGTGGCATCTCAGCTGATCGGGTGGAAAACACGGGATAAATTGTGACACTTTCACTTTCTTTACATTAACCTATGGTTTTCTCAGGGTACAGCATTGCATTAGGTGCTGAACATGACATCTTTGGGATTCACATCCAAGTCATGAGGTGCTAGGACCAGACTGCCAAAACATTGTTTGAAATATTCAATTAATCATTGATTAACAATCTAGGTTTTGTATCCCCTCCTTAGCCACAATTATGCAGACCTGTGGTTGTTTAGTTCTATGAATCCCATTCAGGTTTCAGTTGTGGGTTTCTCTGTTGGACTGTAGCTTTTCATATTCAGCAAAATGTGTTTTAATCAGCATTAAATAATTTAACTAGTAAAAAAGTACTTGCCTCAAATGCCTGGACTTTAGATACTTTATTATCTACTAAAGGCAACATTACCTTTTAAATGTAATCTGACACTTTCTAATTGCTCCTTTTTCCCCTTTTTCCCTCTTATTTTATTTCCCCTGAATAATTTCCTTTTCAGTGTTTTCAACTCCCCTGGTACTAAAGCTAATCAGTAGTGATCAGAGTGACTGCAGGCAGCTCATGAATGGAACTGTGACAGGTTAAGCTGTCCTTTGACATGCCAGGGCATGGAACTTTAAACTGGAAATATTAGAAATGTGGGTTGGGGTTTTTTTTAACCTTTTTTCTAGGTTTCAGAACATTTTGGGAGGGAGGGAAGGAAGAATAGAAAGACACATTTTGCTAATCAAACATTGTAAAGACTATTTGATTTTTATTTAAGAATTTACAGGCATTTACAATGTTGCTGTGTTGCCAAATAGTTTGCTGGGTACAAGTTTGGTTGCTCATGTGCAAGTGTTTGAATAATGTTCTGTTCATGATGAAGGGGAAATTTTTTATATAAAGTACTTGTTTTATAAATAAAAGAAAATGAAGGATGTAATTAAATGTGTGGTTTGGAAAAAAAATCCTAATATATTACAAATGGATCTGGTAATGATATATAGTTGTCTTATTTGAAATAGTAAATGAAAATTCTAGCTAATTTAATGATTGTAAAACAGTAAATATGTTCTTGTAGTTTTGTATAATTAATTAGTTGGGATCTTTGCTGACCAGTTTTAATTGTGCAGAAGATGGTATACTAATCCATAACAGCTGAGATCATTTATATTCTTGCACATCTATTAAAGACTTTAATGAAAAAGTTAATAGCCTGTTATTATTTATGAGTGAACTGGGCTGTGTCCGGCCTCTGAAACAGAGCCCAGTGTAAATTAACTCTGTAGGAGCCTCCCTGTATTTTTATACTGTGCTCTGTCCCTTCCTCAGCTGCACGTTGAGTTCCAGGCATAGGGAAGTAAACCAGAGCAGGTTGGTGATCTCATCCCTTGGTTTGTGGTTGCTAACTGTCATTAAATGTCATTGATTGTCATTCCCAGGCTTAGCCAGTGTTCCCCTGCTCCTCTTGGAGTGACCAAAAGAGCAGCTGAGGCTCCTGAGCCCCTCCCAGCCCCACCAGGCTCTGGCTGTTCCCTGCTCTCAGCCTGGGGGGGCTGTGTGGAACTGCTACAAAAATCCCTTCTTTTGCCTCACTCACTGTGTTCAATCTCCCTTTCAGCTCAGCACTGTGACACTGGCAGGAGTGTTCCTTCTGCAGCCTAATTAGCCCAGTACTATTAATCACCTGTTTAACACTGATCCTGACTTAGAAACCTGCACTGGAAAGTTTTGAATTTAGCTGGGCTCCTTCAGAAACATAAAAAAACCCACACCTTTTTTTTTTGGTCTGGACTGTGTTTTCTCTTACATAGCTACACTCCTAGGATCAACTGTACAATTAATACTTTCTTACTGAGGTATTAAAACAACAACAAAAAAAGCCAAATTCAAATTACTGTTTAACTGAGTTTATTTTCATAGATCTATTTAGGAAAAAAACCAGTAAACTTTTGGATTAGAGTAAGTAACAGTTGTCTTTTGCTCAGCTGCTTTCTTCTGTCCTGAGAGATGCAGAACTGTGGTCCATCAGACAAAGCTCCAGGGACTTCCAGTAGTGCATTTTTTCAGGAGTACCTAGGCTGATTTCCCTGGAGGGGTCTCTGGGACATCCCAGAGCACTGTTTTCAGAACTGGAACTATTTTATGTGCATTTGAGAGTCTTTAAAATTAAAAAACCAACCAAACAAATAGGCAGGTGTCACTTATCCTTCTATTGAGTTACTGCTTTAAGTCAGAGACAAGGATGTGCTTCCTTGACAGATTTTTCCTTTCCCTTTGAGAAAGCTTCATCCTTGGCCTTGTTCCTTTGCTCTCCACTCTTCTGGATTTACCACATGACATCATCTGCACTTTCAGACAAGCACCTGGCAAGGTGGCCATCGATGTCCAGCTGGGAAAGTCTGCAAACACAGGAACAGTCACATCCTTTTATTGCCAGAAGTGTTCTGGTACCTTAGTGGGGCAGGCACTCCTGTGCCCAAATCCACTCCCAAAACCTCCCATCCTTGCTGTTACTGCTGCTCAAACTGGAGCTGAGTAGCACAGACCTGAATATGGAGGCCTGATGCATTTTAAGCCTTTCTGTCTAAGTCTCTTGACACAATGACCAAAATAATCTAAATATTAATGTATCCTGCAGGGTTAGAGGACCTGTGGAAAAGCACATTTTCAGCAACTCTGACAGCCTAAGTACTATGAAATTGTGTTAACAGCTCTTACTGTAGAGCAGATACTCAACTTGTAAATGGGACTAAAGTAGGTAATTCTGACAGCTAAAAAAGACCTGCCAGTAGAGGTTTTGTCTGCTTTTGTTATTCTGCATATAGAGAATGCATCCAGAACATGCTGGTGCTCATTTATGGGAAAGTTATGAAAAAAAACCAAAACACAAACTTACCTTCCACTAAACTGCATGAGACACATTGGACAACTGTCAAGAGCTGAAGCTGCTTCACTCTGGTTTTCCATCTTGTCCTCGTGGCTCTCAGCCCCAGGAGCACTCCCGAGCTGAGGCTTCTCCACAGGCACCCCCGTGGCCTCCCTCGCTGCAAAATCCCCCTGATGTGTTTGGATTTGAGGCTTTTCCTCACCCTTTTCCCTCCTGTCAGCCCTGCTGTTCTGTACAGTCCCTGTGTGGTGGGGCTGAGGGCTCCAAGCTTCTGCAGGGCTTTGTAGCAAGGCTGAGGGCTGTGCTGAGCTGCTGTGCCCAGGGAGTTTACTTGACTTAGGACTCACATCCAGCTCTGAAACACCTTTAGTGTCTGCTCCAGGTGCAGTTTTGGCTTGTTCTGTACTGGTTCTTCTGCAGGTTTTCTCAGCTGTGGATGATGAACTTTTCAGTTCATCTGCTTGGCCCTGTCCTTTATGTAAGTCACTGCTCTGGCTCTGTGTTGGCTGCTGGGAGCTCAGATCCTTGGGGTTCCAATATTCTTCTTTGTGAAAAGATGGGAATGATACCCACTGAAAGTCTTTTATTCCCACTGTGAAGACTTCCTGGTGTTCTGGACTCTTTTCCTGTTGTTTCTACAACATACACATATACACAGAGAATGTCTTAAGCAACTGTAGCTCAATCAATACCTAAACCCAGGCTTTGGGAGCACATTGCAAATACTGAGAAAGCTGAACTACAGGGAAGGAAAGAACATTTTATTTATGTCCCTCCTTCAGGGGCTTCCTGGAGCTGATAGAATATGGAGCTTCCCTTAATATTTCTAAATGGATATAATGGGTACTCATGTTCCAGAGAGACTAAGGATGAAAACAACCTGCTGCTGTTCAGGAGGGGAAAAAGTATTTTATAAGGACTGATTTTCATGTTGTGATCTTGCCTAATGCCACTGGAGTGATGTCAGGGTGGGTTCTATGTAACTAACCCCTCCATTACAGTTTGCCTTTTCCAGTTTCATTCCTTAGGGAGGTACTGATGTTTATGGCAGTCACCATGCTTCCACAGGCTCCCTCTTCCCAGCAAAATGTTGGAAAGAATTTGCTGTACTGCAAAAAAAGCCTCTTGTAGCTGTCCTTATATTCCCTGCCACACCATGCCCAGCCACACCACTGCACACAGGGATTAAAGAGCTGAAACCTCACATCTCCCAAAGCTATTTCAGGTCGTTTCCCATTAACCAGGCTTGGAAGCAGGACACGAAGTGCAAAAACAAGGATACAGCACATTACCTTTTCCAAGAACTCCGGAAAGCTGGGCACTGTGTCCCAGTTTGTGCAGTGTGAATCTTGACTGATGTCTTTCAGTAGCAAAAGCCAGGTTTTCTCGCACTCATTTAATTCTTCCTTTTCAAACCAGGAACATCTGTCAGTTGATGGCCTGTAAAGACACAGTCCAACAGTTTGAAGGTGGGAGAGAAGAAAGAAAATACTTTTACACTGATACCAGTTTGCCTCTTTTTTCTGGAAGACAAAGACATTATTGAGCCTACAGCTCAATAAATAAAGCCTGCAGCTTTATATGACTTATGTAATTTTACAGCCAGCACAAATTTAATGTCTAAATGCCTTCCTTTCTGCTTCTAACAAATGAGCAGTAGGTATCTATCACTACCATCACTTCCAAGTGAAACAATTAAGTGCAGCCACTGTTTTATCTTCTCAAATACCAAACTCAACACCTGCTGAGCACAGAAATCATGGAAGTGTTTGCACTGAGGGTGGCAATTGTATCGGTTCCCATGTTATGTCTGGACATTCCCACATTGCCATTTGAAATTACTGATTATCTTCCCAAACAACTTGATTTAATCGATCCTAGGAACTATAAGCACTAAAAGGTAACGCTGTAAAAAGACAATTCCAAAGAAAGGATGGATTGTTAATGTCACAATGGTATTTCCAGCATTTTTCCTGATGCCTTTTCTTGGGTCGCTGTCCAGGAATGAAGCTGCACGGGGAAGAAATTAGAAACAACACGGCCTGAAAGAGCAGAGTGATCAACCTCTCACAGCCCATGGTGGGGGGACACGGCCGAGCCCCCGGGCTCCAACACAACCCGAGCCACTCACTGCCTTCAGTCCTCCTGAACACCAGGACTGGAAAAAACAGGAAATATTTCTGCGCTCCTGTGAGCCGTATTCTGGAAAAAAGAAAACTGAGTTTTCATACATTAACATTTCTCAGGCCCTGTCCTCGCCAGTGCTGTTCTGTGCCGAGGAACGTGCGGAAGGCGTGGGGCCCGCTGTGCTTTATCCTGCAGTTTTATCTCTATTTTTTAAAGGCACGACAGGCGGTGTTTTATGATATAACCTTTAACAGACACAGATCTGACCGCGAAACGCCGCGAGTCGGCGGGGCGGTGCACCCGGAGCCGATCCGATTCCCCCGGGGCCCTTTCGGTCCCCCAGGACCGATCCGGT